CTGAAGCTAATAAAATATATGTCAATTCTAATTAAAAAATAAAAAATAATAAAAAACTGAACTCGATCTGTTTAAGATTCAGTTTTTTCCTTTGAGAAAAACAAAACAAAACAAAACAAAACAAAACAAAACAAAACAAAGGCTAATGAGAGGAAAGAGTACTCCTAATTTGTCAGACTATTTAGAGAGTTATTGTGATGAATAAATTTGTTAATTCACAGAGGGCATAATATAGTTAATGACAAACATTTTTAAGTTGTTAAACATGATAACTCTTACTATTATTTTGTAGATTCACTTGCATTTTTAGTACTATAAAACAATTGGGTTTTTCACCACCAAACGTTCATAAAATATTTAATACTATGTTATGGGCTAAATCCATTAACAATATGAAGTGTCTATTCTTTTGACGTTTACAGTCTTATTTGAGAGACAAAGCATAAATACTTAAAATTTGTAAACAAAATGTGAAATAAACATACAACAGAAGGTTATTCAGCCTTAAAAAAGAAGGAAGAAATTCTGACATGCTACAACAACATGAAAGAACCTTAGATTATGCGAAGTGGAAAAAAAAACCAGTTAAAAAAAGGACAGATAAGAGGTACCTGAAACAGTCAAACTCATGCAGACGGAAAGTGGAATGGTGGTTGCCAGAGGCTGAGGTGAGAGAGAAATGGAAGTTGTTTAATGGGCACAGAGGTCCAGCTGGGGACATGAAAAAGCTCTGGAGATGCAAGGTGGTGACAGTTGCACAAATATTGTGAATTTGCTCAGTGCAGTTGTACTGAACTGTATAATTAGAAGTGATTAAAATGGTAAACTTCATGTTCTGGAGGTTTTACCACGATAAAATACTTAAAATCTATATATTCATAACAGGGAAAATTAAAGTTGCACAGTACAATGTAACAGATAAACCAGTAAATTATAAATCATCAAATGTTATTTTAACTTCCTTAATAAAATGTATTCATTTATTTTTTGAATAAACAATGCATTTGTATGGCACAAAAATATGAACTCCAACTGAGATGGAGGCATGGGTAGATAGACATGCTTCATGTCCTTAAGCAACCAAAAGAAGGATAACAAACAATTTAAAGACAAAAAATGACCAGAACTGCCAGAAAACTGAACTTCATGGAAGTCTGACAATGAAGCAGTTAAAGAGAAAACATTCATCCAGACTGGGAGGAGGGGCAGAGATGGGAAACTGGAGTGGGGAAGATGCAGGCAAGGTGGAGAGTGCCAGACCGGGCAGTCCCACATTCACGTGCGGATAAACCAGAAAGAACAACTGGGGAGTGAGACAGAGCTTGCAGCACAGGGTTCCAGCGTGGGAAACTAAAGCCTAAAAACCTCTGGCTGTAAAAACCTGCAGGGGTTGCAGTGGTGGGAGAAACTCCCAGTCTCACAGGAAAGTCCATTGGAGAGACCCACTAGGTCCTAGAACATACACAAGCCCACTCACCAGGGAATCAGCACCTGAAAGGGCACAATCTGTGGGAAGTGAGGGAAGTGATGGAAAGTGGGGTGAGAGATGAGCAACCAGCACCGTTCCCTCTTGGACCCCTTCCCCATATACAGTGCCAACAAGGAAGCAATGTGGGTCTCCCCACCCTGGCAAATACCTACAGCTCTACCCTTTCTAACATAACAGCTGCAATGAAACAAAAGAAATACGGCCCAAGTGAAAGAACAGATCAAAGATCCAGAAATAGCACTAAGCGATGAGATAACCTATCAGATGCAGAGTTCAAAACACAGATAATCAGGATGCTCACAGAAATGACTGAGTATGGTCACAAAATAAAGGAGGAGATGAAGGTTACACAAAGTGAAATAAAGCAAAATATACAGGGAACCAACAGTGAAGGGAAGGAAACCAGGACTCAAATAAACAAATTGTAACAAAAGGAAGAAATAAATATCCAACCAGCACAAAATGAAGCAATAATTTTAAAAAGTGAGTAGAGGCTTAGGAACCTGCAGGATAACTTTAAACATTCCAACATCTGAATCATAAAGGTGCCAGAAGGAGAAGAGAAAGAGCAAAAAGTTGAAAACTTATTTGAAAACATAATGAAGAAAAAACTTTCCCAATCTGGTGAAGGAACTAGACATACAAGTCCAGGAAGCTCAGAGAAGTTGGGTCCAAGAAGAAACACACCAAGACACATCATAATTAAGTTACCCAACATTAAAGATAAGGAGAGAATCTTAAAAGCAGCAAGGAAAAAGGAGATAGTTACCGACAAAGGAGTTCCCATTAGACTGTGAGCTGATTTCTCAAAAGAGACCTTTCTGGCAAGAAGAAGCTGGAAAAAGTATTCAAAGTCATGAAAGGCAAGGACCTAAATCCAAGATTTACTCTACCCAGCAAAGCTATCATTTAGAATGGGAGGGCAGATAAAATGCTTCCCAGATAAGGTAGTGTTAAAGGAGTTCATCATCACCACACCCTTATTATATGAAATGTTAAAAGGACTTACCTAAGAAAAAAAGATAAAAATCTATGAACAGTAAAATGACAACATACTCACAACTATCAACAACTGAACTTAAAAAAAAAACTAAGCAAACAACTAGAACAGGAAGAGAATCACAGAAATGGAGATTACATGGAGGGTTATTGGTGGGGAGAAGGAGAGGGGAGAATGGAGGAAAAAGTACAGGGAATAAGAAGCATAACTGGTAGGCACAAAATAGATAGGGGGAAGTTGGGACTAGTACAGGAATTGAGAAGCCAAATAACTTATATGTATGACCCACGGTCATGAACTAAGGCAGGGGAATGTTGGAGGGAGGAGGGTAGAGGGCAGAGGGGAATAAAAGGAAAAAAAAATGGGACAACTCTAATAGCTTAATCAACCAAATATACTTAAAAATAAAATGTACAAAGTGTTATATGGGGGAAAACAGATCTTCCTTTAGCCACTCAGTTCCTTATCCTAGAGACAACCTCATTACTACTTTCTATATATTCTACCGAAGATACTATCTGTCTTCCAGTGAGTATATTCATCTACTGTATATACAGTTTCAACTTTCTTTTTTCACTTAAGAATGTCTTATCACATTAAATGCAAACTTGTTCTTTTTAAAGAGCTGCATAGTAGATATCACAAATACAATATATTTGACTAGTCTCCTCATTAGAAATGAGAGGGTTTCCAGTCTTGCTATTTCAAGCAGTTTCGAAGAATAATCTAGCACATATGTCATTCTGTTAATTGTGAGCACTTCTGCAATGTAAATTCCTGGAGGGAGGGCCACTGGCTTGTCATATGATTCAGAGTTAAGTCCCTAACTAGGCAGAATTCACCAAAGTGGTACTGGTGTTAGTCATTTTATCCAAAAACTTGGAAACATCTTTGTATCATTTTCTTCAGCACCTATCAATCACCAAATCTTGCTAATATTATTCCTCAGTATCTTTTCTGTCCTTTTATTGCATTTCTAATTCCTCATGGCTCCAGCTTAACTTAGGCTTTCAGCATTTCTTCATATCTGAAGTGTTGTACTCCACCCATCCTCCTGAGAGAAGAATTTGCTCAAGCACTAAAATGCTTGTCTCTATTTTAGCAAACAAGGCTCACCTTAATCTGCTCCATGCACTTTCCTTCTCCAGCCTTCTCTACCATTACCCAACTCTTTTTGCTTTTATGATGTACAAGAATAGTTCACAGTTTCAGGCGTCCATGAACTTGCTCTCTGTCTTCTCAGCCAGGACTATACTTATCCATTTTTCTTACTTCATCCTATGGGAAATCTTGACCTCTTCCTGCAAGAGGAGGAGCCTGCCCTTTGTGATCCACAGGTCCACATTCATTTTCCATGATGATTGCTATTCTCCACTCAAACTATTTCCTTGAAGTAGACTGAAATAGTAGTGGGAGTGATCTTTTCATTTCTAGTTCTAGCATCAAGCACAGTGTTTGATGTCATGTGGTGTGCACAAGATAAAATTTCTTTAACTGAATTTAACTAGAGCTTAGGGAAAAGGAGTGGAGTTTTTCTTTCATTCCTGTTTGTTGAGTGGTGATTATGTGCTATGCAGAGGGATTATAGCCAAGAAGACTGCCTAGGGCCTGCTTTTTGGGGTCTAGTGAAAGAGAGGAGACAACATAAACAGTTATAATTCACTGGGTGAAGTCTGCAGTGAGTCCCTGGACACAGTTTAGAGTCTTCATGGATATGGATGAGCAAAGGGTGGCGTTTTAATTTGAGGGAATTGCACTAGGAAAGGCATTTAGAAAGTAAGGCAATTCCTCCAAGGCACTGTGAAACCCAGAGTCAGACACATAGCTAATGATTTCTGACTTTCTGTTCGTGGCTCATGGCCTCCACTTTGTAAAGTCTTCTGGGGAATGGAAAGTCAAATACTGTCTTGGAGAAAGAATAATAAAGTGAGATAACACGTGTAAAACAACCAGGTCAGAATCAGTATACTCCACGGAAGTTCTCTTTCTCTGGTAAACTGCTTTACAGTTTAGCTGCTAACTTGCTTGGTGTTTAGTGACCTATGTTAAATTTAATCTACCAATTTTCTTTCTCTGTCCTTTTTCTATTCTCTTCCCTAATATGACCTCTTTCCACAAAAGGTTGAGTAAGCTAGAAAATGTAATGAAAAAAGCAGGTTCTTTGGGAGTAAGGAATAGCTGGATGCATCACAGAGGTATTACTGGGGGAGTGATTTTGGGCAAGTACTTAAACTCCGGTTTCCTCTTTTGTAAAATAATATATAATAATAAATAAGTCGGGAGAAGATGTTTATGCAAAGACCTTAACCTTAACACAGTGCTTGGCATACAGTAAGTACTGAGAAGTTAACTGGTTCTAAGAACACTATCCCTTGGGCGTGTATTTTAGCCTCTGCTACCAAAAGGAACGTAAGCATAATCATTACTAAATTAAATTAAATCAGAACTCGCGCTTCACAATGGTGCAATTTGATCTCCCCGGGCCACCGTCGCCAAGCATGCGCAATTGAACGAGGCGGGACGTAAGTGTCATGGCGAGCTCCATCTGAAGTCTGTGCTGTTCCGGAGAGCGGTGGGTCTCTTTGGTTTGGTTTGTTATTTCTCGACTGCTGGGTAAGGGTGGCGGGTAGATCAGTTTGGGGCACAGTACGGGCGGAGCTCGTTTCATGGCAGAGTCCTGTTTCCTCAATTTCAGTCTTTGCTGGTTTGTTTCGAAGTTAAAGGGGGACCTGCCAGCTGGGACGGGGAACGGGGAGGCTGGGAGCGCTGCCAAAAGTGAGGACAGGGTCTTTGGCTTCAGGTGGTGCAGAGCTGTACGGAGTGTTAAGGGATCTCGGTTCCTTGTTGTCAAGATAAACTTTATTCGTTCTCCTACTTTCTGCGTTAGTGAATGTGTAGGACAGGAGGAGGCTGTCGCAGTTACTTAGCTTTCACAGAGCTGTATCTCATTAAGAATTTAAACTGGAGTCGTAAGAGTAGGTGTCTTGTGTTTTCACTTTTCATTCTTGTTTACTCATAAAATCAGTCTGCATCTCAGGGCAACACGTGTCTTTCAGATGGAAGGTGATCTGGATGTCTACCTATTTCATTCCTCATTTCCGTTTTGTAGTTTTTGGTTTTACTTGAATCATGCAGACTGTGATAGTGCCGGACAGTATTACTGTTGCTAGACGCTGGATTCCAGTCATGGCAAATACGGTAGATGTCAACACACTTGTTTGAATCAGTAAGAAGTTGCAAATAGTATGGATCATAATTAAGCCTGCTGTATAAGACAGTGTTTTATGGAGGCTAATCTCTTTTGGGTAATTTTTTTTTCAAAGATTTTATTTATTTATCTTCAGAGGGGAAGGGAAGGAGAGAGGGAGAGAAACATCAATGTGTGGTTGCCTTTTGTGCATCTCCTGCTGGGAGCTGGCCTGCAGGGAACAGGTCTGCAACCCAGGCATGTGCCCTGACTGGGAATCGAACCGCGATTGTCTGGTTCGCAGGCCCGCGCTCAATCCACTGAGCTACACTAGCCAGGGCTTCTTTTGGGTAATTTTTAAAGAGTTCTTACTGTGGTTTTGTGAACTTGTGAACTTGCTTTTTCTAATCAGTTTTTATTTTCCAGACCTGTATTTCAAGAGGATTTGAGAGTAATTGCAGATAATCAAGGTACTCATTTATTTTAAATCTTTTTTGTTTGAGTGACATGTTACACATTATATAATGTGCAGAAAGCTAGCCCAAGCTCTTAGTAACTTTCCCACCATTATTACATGGAAAAGCTATGATCTCCATATCACTAAATCCAAGAAACATTTTCATTTATTCTACTTAACCTTCCGTCTGTGTTAGGCTACACTGACTGAGTCCACTGACATGCTCTCCGCCTTTGCCTTTAATGACCAACTGGTTCGTTCCTGTATGTGGTGGCTGCATCTTGGTTCCCATTAAAAGCTGGTTCTCTTTTATTTGGCAGTTAAATCTGGAGTTTCTGAAGACTTGACCCTTTCCCTTTTCCTCTTCTCTCTTCTCTCTCTGGGTGTTCTAATCCACAGTGCTGTTCTCTCCTTTTTGAATCTAGCCATCCTAGCAGGTGTAAAGTGATATATCATGATTTTGATTTGCATTTCCTTGATAGCTAATGATACTGACATCTTTTCACGTACTTACTGGCCATTTGTCTATTTTCTTTGGAGAGTTGTCTGTTCAAATCTTTTGTCTGTATTTTGCACTGGGTTATTTGTCTTTCTGTTGCTTAACTTTTTTTCTATGTGTTCCGATATAAGACTTTTTATCAGAAGTATGATGTACAAATCTTTTCTCCCATTGGTTGGAGTTGTCTTTTCACTCTCTTGATGGTGTCCTTTGAAGCATAAAATTTTTGAATTTTGATAAGGTGTCATCTTTTTTTCTTTTGTTGCTTGTTCTTTTGGTGTTGTAACTAAGAAACCAGTGCTTAATCTAACGTCATGAAGATTTACATCTATGTTTTCTTCTAAGAGTTTTATAGTATTAGCTCTTAAATTTAGGTCTGTGATCCATTTTGAGTTAACTTTTTGTATATGATAAGAGGTAGAATCCACCTTCATTCTTTGCATGTGGCTCTCCAGTTGTCCATTTGTTGAAAAGGCTGTTTTTACCCCCAATGAAATTTTTTTGCATCCTTGTTGAAAATCAGCTGACTAGGTAATGCATTTTTGACAAACATGCTAGATGACTTATATGAAAGAATAACTCTAGAAAAATGATTGTCATATTTTAGTGGCCATCAAAATTATCTGGAAGGCTTATTAAAGATTACTGGGCTTTACTCAGAATATCTGATTCAATAGATCTAAGGTGGGGCTCAAGACTTTTCTAACAAGTTCCCTAGTAATTCTAATTGTGCTGGTCTGGGAACCACACTGAAAAGTACTGGTGTAGAACTTTGTTTTACAACCATGGCTACACACATGAGAATACTGGAAAGTGTTCTAGATATAGTGGTGGAAAGGAGATGATGCCTTTGGAGCTTAAAGTGTAATGAGAAAGACAGATGCAATTGTATATCTGGTATCAGGTAGGTTAGTGCTATGAAGAGAAATGAAGCATAAAGCAGGGTTAGAGGTTAGTGAGAGTGTGTGGGGAATGCTCGGTCCCTGTGTCCTTATTTCAGACATGCTGTTTAGGAACGGTCTCCAAGGAGGTGCCATTTGAGTAGATAAGTGGGCAGCAAGCCATAGAGATATTGCAGGCAGAGGGGATATATTCTGGCAGAGGATGGTATTCTTCTGTCAGATGATCTTCCAGGCAGAGGAATAGCAATTGTGAAGGCCCCTGAGTCAGAAACTAGTTTGGCATACTTAGAGAATATCTAAAAGGTTAGTACAGTTGGTACAGAGTGGGAGGTGACAGAGGGGTTAGCTAGGGGCCATATTTTGTTAGACTGGATAGTCTATAGTAAAAATATTGAGAACGTGCAATATGCTAGACATAGTTCTAGGCTCCACCTGGAATAAAGCAGTGAACAGAGCACACAAAAACCTTTACAGACACAGAGTATATTGCAGTAGAAAGAAATAGTAACAAAAGAAGGAAAACATCTAAGCAGGTGATGAAGGGTCTGCAACCCAGGCATGTGCCCTGATTGGGAATCAAATTGGTGACCTTTTGGTTTGCAGGCCAGTGCTCAGTCCACTGAGCTACACCAGTTAGGTCTCATTTTGACTTTTTAAGGTAGAAATAGCTATTAGACATTCAAGCGGCGTTGTTGAATAGGCAGTTGGACATGTGAGTCTGAAGTTCAGGGGAGGACTGGGACTGGTTATATAATATAGTTGGTCTTTCAGGGCTGTGGAATTGGATGAGAACAGGTTGTGTAGAGATCAAAAGGGGTCCTGTAACAGACACAAGGAGGAACCAGCAAAGGAGACTTAGGGAGTGGCTAATGAGGTAGGAGAAAAACTTGGGGGGGTGTGTTGTCCTACAGATAAGGTCATATAAGATGACTGAGAATTGATCATTGTATGTATCATTGAAATCATGACAGGCAGTTTTGGTGGAATGATGGGGGTGAAAGCTTGGTTCGTGAAAGAAAGGGAGGGGAAACTAGAGATTGTAAGTATAGATAGCTCTTGCAAGCAGTTTTTCTTTAAAGGAGAGAAATGTGATGGGGAGGTAAATGGAGTAAGTGGGGTCAAGATAAGGTTTTTTTTTTAAAAATTTTATTTAGTTATTTTTCAAGTACAGTTTTTTTTTGTCTATTTCTCCCATCCCAGCTATAAGGTTTTAGTTTTTCAAATGGGAGAAATAATAGTATGCTTATATCCAGATAGTAATGATTTAGTAAGGGGACAATTAGTGAATATGCGAAGGAGAAGCAGGAAGCATTGCTGGAACAAGGAGCATTGCTGGAATTCTTTGCCTGAGTAGGTCAGAGTACAGGGGGTGTTCTTAGGGAAGTGGACGGTTATTCATAGCAACATATTGGTTGGCTGAGTACATGGGTAAGAACTGCTTCTGGGTAAACGAAGGAAGTCATCCACCTATAGAATGTGGGAGGGCATCTGAGATCAGCTTCATTCAAGCTTTCTGTTTCAATATGATCATTACCCTTATTAAGAGGAGGTCTATGAGAAAATTATTTTCGGAAAATTTCTAAGATAAATGAGGTGGTTTCTTTACTGAAAGCAGTTCTTCACAGTCTTTGCTCTACTTATGCATGCTGAGAATTTATAAGGAGGCAAGATTTCCTATTAATTTGACCACAGATCCATCTTTTCACTGATAGTTAATATATCAAATGGAACCAATTTGAGAAAGACTAACTTAGTTCATTTCACCTTACCGAGTTTGCTGAGTTGGCCAGGACTCTTGTATGCAAGAGCAGAAAACCCAACTCAAATTAACTGAAGCCACAGAAGAAATTTATTGGCTGACATGACCGGGCAGAGTGGGCAGCATCAGGCTTCAGGCATTGGTTGGATCTGGGTGCTCAAATAAGTCAGTATGGCTTCTATCTCTTCTGCTGTAGTTCATTCTTTAGGTGGCTTTCTGCCCTGTGACTTGCAGGTGGTCTCCAGCATCATCAAGTTGACATCCTCCCAACTTAGCTACTTCAGTGAAAAGAGGATCCATCTCTCCCGTTAGCTTGGCACAGAAGTCCTGGTGATGATTCTGACTGGTAGGGCTTGAGATATCCAACCCTGAACTGGTCACTGTGGCCAGGAGGATGGGCTACTCTGGCAGGCTTGGGTCATGTCACCTCGTCTCGTGTCTATGGAAGGAGGAGGTTTGTGATTGACAGCCCACAAACAGCCCTCCATGCCCACATGGTGTGCATTTTAACTAATTTAGCAAGTCCTTGATTGATTGTCATTTGGATTATTGGGTTATTGTAATCTTTTTATTTTGCTCTTACTAACTGTGTAACGCTAGCTGAGATTCGAACATAGGTTTGTGTGATTTACAGGGCATAATTTGTTATAGTTGTAAAGAGGATATTACAGTAAAAGGCACAGAATGAGCCTGGCTGGAAGCCACTCTTTCTTTTTCTTTGAAAAGATTTTGTTTATTTTTAGAGAGAGGGGAAGGGAGGGAAAAAGAGAGGGAGAGAAATATCCATCAATTGCCTTTTGCATGTTCCCAACTGGGGTCCTGGCCTGCAACCCAGGCATGTGCCCTGATGGGGAATCAAACAGGCTACCTTTTGATTTGTGGGTCAGTGCCCTGCCTACTGAGCTACAGAGTCATGGCTGGAAGCTACTCTTAATTGAAAGTTGTTAATTAAAAGACGAGAATTTGGCAAATGAAGAGAAGGAAAATTCATCAGAAAGGCTGAGACCAGAGGACAGTATAGGATTCTTTACAGTGGCTTTGGTGGCCCAGGTGAGCGGTCACTCTCTGTACATACATTAAGTAAGTAGGCAGTAGAGTGCCACACAGCACATTGGCTTGGGCTCACCTGGCATGGAATGTTTGCTGTGCTGCCTTGGGTGAGTTAGCTTTTCTGTGTTTCCTATTGCTTTGAAGTGAGGATAATTACACTGTCTGCCTAATGGAGTTGTGAATGGTTAATGAGTTGACGCCAAGCACCTTCTTTGTGTCTGGATATAGGATTAGTAGTAGTGCTACCAGGAAGTGTACTTTCAAGTATATCTTATTTTTCTTTCTTTTTTTTTCAAGATAGTTTCTTTGAGAATTTTTTTTATTGTAACATAATTATGGATTCACCTACAGTTATAAAAATTATGTGGAGGAGCTATACACTTTATCCAGTTTCCCCCAGTGGTAACATCTTGCAAAACTACAATATAATACCAGAACCAGGATATTGATATTTGTACAGTCAGGATACAGAATATTTTCACCACCACACGCTTCTCTCATGTTGCCCTTTTACACTCACATTCACTTTCCTCCTAGCTGTCCTCTCCTTAATCCCTGGCAACTACTATTTTATTCTCCATTTCTGTAATTTAATTTCAATTTCAAGTATGTTACATAAATAATTATGCAGCATGTGACTTTTTGGGATTGGCTGTATTTGCTCGCTCGGCATCATTCTTTGGCCATTCACCCAGGTTGTTTCATACATCAACAGTACATCCTTTTTTACTGTTGAGTAAGGATGTACCACATTTGTGTTTAACTGTTCAATTTACTGAAGGGCATCTGGGTTGTTTCTAGGTTTTGGCTATTACAAAGAAAGGTACTATGAACATTTGTGTTCAGTTTTTTTGTGATTGTTACTCTTTACATCTCATGGATTAAGCCCTCAGAAATACAATGGCCAGGTTGCATGGTAGTTAAATAATTAATTTTTTAAAGAAAATGCCAAACTTTTTTCTCCAATCAACTGTACCGTTTTATATTCCCATCAGGGCTGTACGAGTGATTCTGTTACTCTGCATACTCATCAGCATTTAGTGTTCTCACTATTTAAAAAAAATTTTGATTTGAGAGAGAGAGAGAGAAACATTGATTTGTTGTTCTACTTATTTATGCATTCACTGGTTGCTTCCTGTATGTGCCCTGACTGGGTATTGAACCTGCAACCTTAGCATGTCGGGATGACATGCTAACCAAATGAGCTACCTGGCCAGGGCCTCACTATTTGTTATTTTAGCCATTCTGATAGCTGCGTAGTAATGTTGAGTCTCTTTTCATGTGCTTATTAGGCCTCTGTGTATCTGTAGCTATTGCATTTTTTAAATTGAACATAACGGGGTGACACTGGTTAATGAAATTATGTGTTTCAGAAGTACAATCCTGTAATATGCCATCTGTATATTGAATAGTGTGTTCACCACCCCAAACGAAATTCCTTCCTTCACCATTCCTCCCCCCTCCCCCTGTCCTACCTCTTCTGTATATTTTCTTAGGTGAAATGTCTTTCTTTTGTTCATTTTCTAATTGGATTTTTTTTCAGTATTGTGTTTTTAATTCAAGATAGTAGTCCTTTGTCAGATTTGCAAATATTTGCTCTACTCTGTACTTTGACTTCTCATTCTCTCAAAAGGGTCCATTACAGAGCAGAGGTTTTTAATTTTGATGATATCTGGATGTAATTTTTATTTTTATTGATTGTGCTTTTGGTGGCAACTCTAAGAACTCTTCACCTAGCTTTAGGTCTAGCAAGTTTTCTCTTGTGATTTTTTCTAAAAGTTACAGTCTTAATATTTTACATTTAAGTCCATGGTACATTTTATAAGATGTGAGACTTAGGTTGCAGTTTACAGTTTTGTTTATAAATGTACAATTGCTCCAGCACTAATTTTTGGAGTCTCTCTTTCCTCCATTGAACAGCTCTTGTACTTTTGTGCAAAATCATTTGGGCTTATTCGTGTAGGTCTATTTCCAGGTTCTTTGTCATGTTTTGTTGATGTGTTTATATTTTACCAATACTACACAGTCTTGGTTACTTAATAAGTCTTAAAATTTATCTAATTTGTCCCACTTTTTTCTTGTTTTTACCAGTTATTTTAGATTTTGATAGGAATTTAATTTCAAACTTAACGTCAGTTTAATTAATCTGCACTGACACTGTGGGTGAGTAGGGCTTCATTACTGCTTTGTGGGTTAATTTGGAAGTCCAGGGTCCCCACCTGGCCTTTTGTGGCTTGTCTGCAGGTGGGATTATAGTTTTCTGTTTTGTAGAGTTTTTTTTTTTCCACATGCAGAATAGTTATTGTCAAAGTTTTCTGTCTTTGCTGGTTGCCCCTTTTCTGGTTCCTTGACAAGAAAACAGGCTTTAGTTGGGGGCTTTTATTATCTATGTGTGCTGGCACTTCTGGGTTGCTGGCTTCTTTAGCTCTGTGTCTGGGGACAGGAGGAAAAATAAACCACAAGGAACTCACCATTGTATTTTTTCTTGGGTTCCAAGGTCCCCAGCCTGTTATTTTTTTCTTTCCACCTTTCAAAGTCTTCTTGTGTTTATTTTATATATAATGTCCAGAATTTTAGTTGTACTTATCAGGAAAGGTAGGGAAAAGCATGTCTACTCTGTCTTCCTGGAAGCTGTGTCCACATTTTCTTTTCTTGATAACAAAAATTTTGAACATTCAGAAAGTTGAATAGGATAATGAGCACCAATACATTTATTTCCTAGATTTAAGAGTCGTAAATGTTTTTCTACATGTCTTAATCTAATTTTTATTTTAGTAAATTATAATATAATGACATTTCAACTCCAAATATTCAATATGCATCTCCAAAGAAAGCTATCTTATAATACATAAATAATGTATTCAGTGTAAAAAAGTAAGATTTTTAAACATAGGGGCAATACTTTATATTTGGTGACATATAGCAATGATTTTGAACTGATATGCTTCAAGAAATTTTAAAGCACGCAGTACCTTACTAGTTAGCACTGACCTCTTTTCCCTTAGGTTGCCAAACAAAAAAAGTGACTGCAGACAACACAATACCCATCTGGTGTGAATGCCCTGTCTTGAACCATAAATACATAGGTCATACAATAGAATTGCATCTTACTGGTCATGTTGTATAGTAAGAATTGGTTAATTCTTGGTACCAGAAATCCTTATATACAAGTATAGGCACCTGATTTTTTCAAAAGTCACTTTGGAACAAAAAAAGTAGGTAATTACTACTATTACTATTTTTTTTGTAGATCAATCAAAACTATACCTCTTTTTTGGTCAGATCTGTAAAAAATGTAATCTATTTTTTGGTGTGCCACAGAATTTTGTAATTAGTTTATGTGTGCCATGAGATGAAAAAGGTTGAAAATCACTGATAACACTATCCTGATATTATCTGACACCCAGTTCACATTCTGATTTCCGTAGTTGTTCCCCAAGTGTCTTGCAGCTGATTGGACAAAGTAAGATCTAATCGAGAACATGCGTTGCATTTAGGTGGTGTGCTTTTAAGTTTCCTTTGATCTCGAACAGTTCTCCTGCTTTTTTCTCCGTGATACTGATTTGTTGAAGACATAGTTCAATTTTAGCCTTGGAATGTCCCACTATCAATAGGGTTTGTCTAATTGTGTCCTTATGTTTCTTTATCTCTGCATTTTCTGTAAACATGAAGTTAAACCAAAATGCTTTATTGGATTCAAGTTCAGCAAGGTACTTTATAGGTGAAGCTACGTTAAAGAGATTTTCTGAGGGACTCATAAGCTTGTATCGTTTATAACTTTTTTATGTGATGGAGAAGATGCCTTCTGCATCCTGTGATGTACTACTGGATGACATAGAAGATATTGTGTCGCAGCAAGATTCAAAGCCACAAGAGAGGCATTTTGCAAGAAAGCACATTGTTCCAAAGGTGCGAAAAAGAAATACCCAACAATATTTGCAAGAGGAAGAGAGTCCACCAAGTGACAGGTAAGCTTTTTTTTTTTTTTTAATTCCATATCATTCCAGGGGAGAAGCTGATAGTACTGGTCTATGTGATATGCATAAGATCTCTTTTTTAAAAATCTTCAAACTTTTGAGAGAAAGTGTATAGATTAATTTTTTTATTTGAATGTATTTTAATTTAGCAATGTAATTGGTTAAAAAAAGGTCTTAAAATGCATGCTCCTTGAAGGCCTGGGACAGTATTGGCTGTGTAGATAGGACCCTACCCTCACCTCTTAGATATTACTGTAGCTGGTATGTAATTTTCTGTAATTTCCAAATTAAAATTTCTACTGGAATTTGTGGTTCTTATGATAGAGAGGTGGTTTGGGCATTTGATTTTTCTTCGCGAACTTACAAATACTTATGGTTCAGGTAAAGGCATTGGGTAGAAACGAATTATTGCACTGTTTACATTATTAAATCTCAGGAGAAATTCTGATAAAACCTAGCCAGGAATGATTGATTATGCAGTTGCATAATTTAATATGCTTATATTTATTTATTTAGTATTGTGGAAATTTTAATATACTCGAATTTGTTTGGATCATTAAGCTTTTAAAATATATGAAAATATTTGCTTCTATTTTACTTATTTTTTTATAAAAGATTTCATTTGTTTATTCTTAGAGAGAGAGGAAGGGAGGGAAAAAGAGAGGGAGAGAAATGTCAGTGTGTGAGAGAAACATCAGTTGCCTCTTGCATGTCCCCAGTTGGGGACCTGGCCTGCAACCCAGGCATGTACCCTGACTGGGAATTGAACCAGTGACCTTTCTGTTCTCAGGCCAGTGCTCAGTCCACTGAGCCATACCAGTCAGGGCTGTTTGCTTCTATTTTAAAAATGACTGATGTTTCACAAGTTTTTCCTGAACCTGTCCTTAAGGCAATTTCTGTTTAATTATAAATTATTAGGGCAGTCCAAGTTGAAAGCCCTTTTTTTTCTTTCCTAAAATTTACGTTTTTGAACTGTTTTTATAGATGAAATACTTTTAATAATGCCAGAGGATGACAGTTTGTCCATTTTGATGCAGTTATTTATATTTCTAAGGTATTAAATAAAGATTGGAGTGAGTATATAGAGTGTTTGTGAGCAGATGGATATACTTAAGTTACTTTTTCTTTATCTGTCATTGTTACCTGTAACCATTTTCTTTGCTATTATTATTTGTATGTACCAGTCTAGGAGTTGAACTTAATATCAGTAGTACATTAGTACTACTGAATTTAAAATACAGTTTGGAGAAAAAGGAGATATTTTTGTGTAGAGAATCTTACCTTAGAATTCTGTCGTTATTTTATCTTGTTATTAGACTTTTGGTGTGCTAACAGATTATGGATTAAGTTGGTGCATTTAATGAATAGCTTTTGAATGGGATGCACTGAGTGGTTTATTTTTTTTTCCTAATATGCCCAGAAATCATCTAATACGTTTTATTTTAAAAATCATTGAACAAAGCTCACTTTTTTCTTTCCTTGATTGTTTGATAGCACTATTCCTGGCATACAGAAAATTTGGATACGAACATGGGGTTGTTCTCATAATAATTCAGATGGAGAATATATGGCTGGACAACTAGCTGCTTACGGATATAAAATTACAGGTAATGGGATCTGTAATGTATTTATTGATTAAATTTTTCAGAGCTCAGTCTTTAGACGTTTGTATTCTGCTTCAGCAGTGAAGGGATATGTTAGCATAACTTCCGTATTTTTCAGGGCATAAGATGCACCTAGGTTTTAGAGGAGGAAAATAGGAAAATAAATTTTGAAGCAAAAATTATAAAATATTTAATAACATAAATAACATAATATTTCACCAGTATAAATGTAAACAGAACTCAACAGCAGCATTAACAACCATTATTCCTCCCAAATTTGGTGGGGGTGAGGGGGAAATAAATGGTTCTTATAGTCTGAAAAATATGGTAATGATTTTAAGGCAAAGCAAAAAGAAAGCTATTATACATTGCCTATACAACTGTGAATTTCATATATTAAAAAAACTTTAAAAACTGTTTTGATACAAGTTTAAACTTACACAAAAGTAGCAAAATTACAGAGTTCATGTATCCCCTCATCCATCTTCTCCTAACATACAAAATTATAGTATAATATATAATTATAGTATATGAATAAACTAGGAAATTAACAGTACAATATTATTATCTAAACTACAAGTTTTACTTGAATTTCACCAGTTTTCCCATTTATGTCCTTTTTCCAGGATCTAATAAAGTAGTATCTTACCTTCCATTTATTTGTAATGTCTCCTTAGTCTTCGCCAATCTGGGACAGTTCCTCAGTTTCTTCCTGTCTTTTGTGTCCTCAAACTTCTGAAGAAAACTGATCAGTTGTTGTAGAACGACCCCCACCTTGGGTTTGTCTGGTGTTTTCTCATGATTTGAATAACGTTAGGCATGCAGTTTTTGGCAGGAAGAGGACAGAAGTGTGTCCTTCTCAGTGCATGATATCAGGGGCTCGTGATGTCACTATATCTATGGTACTGACCCTTGTCTGCCAGATTTCTCCACAGTGAAGTTACTGTAGTGAGTAAGTATCCTGTTTCTCTTTGGCCTTTCTCTCTACTAATGTTAGCATCTGTTAGTGGATCTCATTGGCAACAGTTACTACTACATTGTTCACTTAGTGGTGATTTTCTGTTCTCTTCTTTATCCACATTTATTAATGGAATTGTTGTGTAAGGGAGAGCTATCCTTTCTCAGTACAGACTCATGGATTTTTTAAATCCAGTGAGATGTGGTCTGATGCGATCATTATTTCTTTTGCTGCTCGCTGTTCCAGCTTTGGCTGCAGGACCTTGTTCAGGCTGGCTTCTGGGTCTTCTCATCATGCTTTATCATCTGGCGTGTCAACATGGTCTAGTCTCATATTTTTTCTTCCTCAGCCTTGGAAGCAACCACTTTTCCAAGGAGCCCTGGTCCCTTTCACTTAGAGAATGGTGTTTAGAAGTAGATCAAAGATGTGGACACGAGGTGTGCTCATTGCCGCTGTGAAGTGTCAGTGCTTCTGGGTTCTCTCATGTGGCAGGGCTAGGAAATAAGTATATTACAGGGCACATATAACGTCTATATTTGTTACCATGTGTGTATGAATATTAAATGGCACCATAATTTGAATTCTTTGTGACAGGCATTGACCCAGGGCTTCATATATGCTGTCTTGCTTAGTTTTTGGGATAGGAGGAAATACTGGCATCCCTACTTTAAAAGTAAGAATGGACAGGTTGTGTCTTGTCTTAAAGCAGACAGGCAGTGAATTCTCTGTCACTCCAAAACACTGTTTTTAACCACTGTTCTGTACCTCACAGTTGCCTTTACATGAATAATGGGCAAGACATGGCTTCAGTGTATAGCATGTGAGGATTTGGCAGGGCTAGAAACTTGCTCCTTTCATAGTTTTTCTTTTTAATTTACAGGACATGCTTATTGATTTTAGACAGAGGGGAAGGGAGGGAGAGAGAGAGAGAGGGAGAGGAACATCAATGTGAGAGAGAAGTGTTGATTGGTTGCTTCTGGTGTACATGCTCTGACTGAGGGTCAGACCTGCCACCTTTCCATTTACTGAACCCCACTGGCAGGGCAGTGTTGTTTTTATCAGCAACTGAATGGCCTTATATTATTAACTTAATGTTTTTTAAATATGTTTTATTGATTATGCTATTACAGTTATTCCATTCCCCCCTTCATTCCCCTCCACCCTACACACCCTCTTCCATCCACATTCTCCCCCTTTAGTTCATGTCCATGTGTCATAAGTTTTTTAGCTTCTACATTTCCCATACTACTCTTGCCCTCCCCCAGTCTATTTTCTACCTACCGTCTATGCTACTTATTCTCTGTACCTTCTCCCCCGCCACCCACTCCCCTGTTGCTAACCCTCCATGTGATCTCCATTTCTGTGGCTCCGCTCCTTTTTTAGCTGTCTGCTTAGTTTGCTTTTGTTTTTGTTTTAGGTGTGGTTGTTAGTAATTGTGAGTTTACTGTCATTTTCCTATACATGTTTTTTATATTCTTTTTCTTAGATAAGTCCCTTTAACATTTCATAAAATAAGGGCTTGGTGATGAGGAACTCCTTTAACTTGACCTTATGTGAGAAGCACTTCATCTGCCCTTCCATTCTAAATGAAAGCTTTGCTGGATAGAGCAATCTTGGATGTAGGTCTTTGGATTTCATGACTTGGAATACTTCTTTCCAGCCCCTTCTTGTCTGCAAGGTCTCTTTTGAGAAATCAGCTGACAGTCTGATGGGAACTCCTTTGTAGGTGACTGTCCCCTTATGTCTTGCTGCTTCTAGGATTCTCTCCTTCATTTTAATCTTGGTTAATGTAATGATGATGTGCCTTGGTGTGTTCCTTCTTGGGTCCAACTTCTTTGGAATTCTCTGAGCTTGCTGGACTTCCCGGAAGTCTATTTGCTTTGCCAGACTGGGGAAGTTCTCCTTTATTATTTGTTCAAATAAGTTTTCCACTTGTGGCTGCTGTGCTTCCCCTTCTGGTACCCCTATAATTTGGATGTTGGAGTGTTTAAAGATGTCCTGGAGGTTCCTAAGCCTCTCTTCATTTTTCTGAATTCTTGTTTCTTCATTCTTTTCTGTTTGCTTGTTTTCTTTCTTCCTTCTGGTCTACTCCATTGATTTGAGTCCCGGTTTTCTTCCCATCACTATTGGTTCCCTGTGCATTTTCCTTTATTTCACTTAGTGTAGCCTTCATTTTTTCATCTAATTTGCTACCAAACTGAACCAGTTCTGTGAGCATTCTCATCACCAGTGCTTTGAACTGTGCATCTGATAGATTGGCTATCTCTGTCGCTTATTTGTATTATTTCTGGAGTTTTGATCTGTTCTTCCGTTTGGGCCTTTTTTTTTCCCCTTATCTTGATGCACCTGTTATGTAGTGAGGGGTAGAGCCTTAGGTGGGGTTACACACACCGCTGGCTTGTGATGCTATATGTGGGGCAAAGGTCAGAGAGGGAACAATGTTTCCCTCTCTGTGGGATTTCAGTCTCTTCTGCCACTTCCTACAAGCAAATTGGGCCCTTTTGGTGCTGATTCCTGTGTGGGTGGGCTTGTATAAGTTCTAGAACCCTGTGGGTCTCTCCAGCAAACTCTCCTGTGAGGCTGGGAGTCTCTCCTGGCACCTCAACCCCCACAGGTGTTTTCAGTGTTTTGAGGCTTTATTTCCCCGAGCTGAAGCCCTGGCTTGGTCGGTCTGTCTTGCTCCCCAGTTTTGCCTGGTTTACCTGCACGAGAATGTGTGACTGCCTGGTAAGCCAGCCTCCTTGCATGCCTTGCTCTGTCTGCCTGCTGCTACCCTGCACCCAGGGTCGCCAGCCACCACTGAATATGAAATTAATTTTTCTTGTTAATGTAGTGTATTACTTTTATATATTTGCATTACTTGTATATATGTGTATTAATTTTGTATGCTATTGATTGTCCACACTTTAGAAGCGCATAGTCAGTTTGTAATTTTAGTCTGGCTCGTGTGCAGCAGACTATAGGACCACTTTAATCATTTGTCTAGGTTCTGTAGGCTGAGGAAATACGAGCACTATTAGCTCTGTAAAACATTTAAGAAGGAAATCTCTACTGATTTTATATTTAGATTCAGTATAAGATATGAATGATTTCCAGGTTACCAATGCCAGTAGTCGTTGTCATTATTGTGGAATAGCTGGGATTTATAAAAGTTTTATTGCTTAATGGTTTTACAGTGTTTTATTAATCAACTACAGACCTAAATATTTTCATTTAACTGTATAAGTGATTAAAATAGGTATAAAATATAGCTTATGTATAATGTATATGGAAATTACTGAAAACAGTATACAGAGAAATTCAAAATGAGCTCTCAATTACCAATAGTAGATATTTTTACTATTTGGAGAGGAAAGAGATCATGTGGGTATATGCTTGAAATTGCTATTTTTAACTGTGTGATACCAGGAATATAATGAGGTCTTAGTTACAACCTCACAGAGGCTTACTTAGTGAGGGCTGTTAGAGCTTGTTCATTACCTCTTTCAGACCCTTTTTATTTTGAGGAGAAAGGTGGTTCATAAGTTATAAATAGTGCTTGCTTGCTTCTCATTTCAAAGAATGAAACCTATCGGTACCACCAGACTAACGGGGTCAGTTCACCTGTTTGCATTAAAGCCCAATCAACCTCGAACAGGTGTGTGCCCCAAAGAAAGAGCTTTGTTATTTGAGGAAACGGCACCAAGCCTGGAGTCATGGGCACGCTAGGGCTAAAGGCGCTGGCTCTCCGATGCCTCCCAGGGGATGGGTTACATAGGGGAAAAATCATTAATTATGGCAGCAAAAGCAGTTGGGGTTGAGGGCTCTGCTGACTGGCTGGGGCCAGGTCCTGAGGTCAGCCATGGCCCTGTTCTGACTGGTGACGTGAGGGTGTGGTCTGTGGGGCCTTTCTGCCTGCGGGGGCCTGGGGCTGAAACCTGACTGAAGTTGTATTAGCTTCAGCTGGACCGAAACCCTGCTTCTGTGGCCAGCAGACCTAGGCTTTGTTCTTAAGACAGTTTGATACTGACAAGAGCCCTGTCGTCCTGAGGGTTTAATGATTAAG